AAAACAAACAATCCAGTTAAAAATGGGCCAAGAACCTGAACAGACACTTCTCCAAAGAGGACACACAGATGTCAATAGACATATGAAAGGATGTTCAATGTCACTAATCATCAGAGAAGTGCAAATTAAAACCACAATGAGATATCACTCCACACCTGTCAGAATGGCTATCATCAATAAATCAACAAACAATAAGTGCCGGTGAGAATGTGAAGAGAAGAGAGTCCTCGTGCACTGTTGGTAGGAATGCAGACTGGTGCAGCCACAGTGGAAAAGAGCATGGCACTTCCTCAAAAAAGTAAAAATGGAACTGCCTTATGACCCAGTGATTCCACTTCTGGCAATATATCCAAAAAGAAACCTGCAATACTAATTTGAAAGTATACATGCATACCTATGTTCGCTGCAGCATTATTTACAATAGCCAAGATCTGGAAGCAACCCAAGTGCCCATCAGTAGGTGAGTGGTTAAAAAAGTACAAGTGAATACTATTCAGCGGTAAAAAAGAAGGAAATCTTCCCTTTTGTGACCATATGGATGGACCTGGAAAGTACTGTTCTAAGTGAAATAAGCCAGCCGGAGAAAAACAAGTACTATTTGATTTCACTCACATGTAGAATCCAGTAAACAAAATAAACTAATAAACAAAATGAAAAGACTCATAAATACAGAGAACAGACTGACAGCTATCAGACAGGAGGCAGGTTACGTACAGGGCTGGATGAAAAAGGTAAAGGCATTAAGAGAAGGAAAAAAGGTCATAGACACACACACACAGCACTATGATGATTGCCAGAGGAAAAGAGGGGTGGCAGGGGAGGTAAAAGAGGGGAAAGGGGAGGTAACTGGTGATGTAAGGAGATGTGATTTGGGGTGATGAACAATACAATATACAGATGATATATTATAGAACTGTACACCTGAAGCCTACATAACTTTCCATGGACATGAACAATGGTGAGGGGATTGTCTGAGGTGGGGGCACGTGCTAGGTGGAGGGGGCATAGGGGGAAACCCTGGGACAACTATAATAGCTTAATCAATAAAATGTAATTTAAAAATAACCTATGTAACTTAATTAACCAATAAATTCAATAAAAAAGAACAGTAGATTCTCAAAAATTAAAATAAGATACAAGCAAACAACATAAAAATGTATGGAATCGTTTACAATACCTGTGGGTTACTCCTTCCATTTGAGATACAACCCTTGGTGAGTTTTCCAATTCCATCATCCCAGTCCCAATCATCATCATCATCGTAATCCTCGTCTTCATCTTCTATCTCACCTTCATCCATCTTTTCACTCACATTATTTTGAAAGTCTTCACACAGAAAGTCATCTTCTTCTTTCCTTATCTTCCAGTTAATGTTTTCACTAGAAATAACAATGTTTTATCATGTTTACACATACTCTAACTGGATTTACATATGTATTTATTTTTCAATATAACATATATGTAAGTCCAACTGATTACATTTATTTACAATATAATAAATTATACCTAAAAGGTTTCCTTACAACACATCTGCCAATAAGTCAATCTTAACATGAAGTTTTCCTGTTTATTCAGAGTTCTGTTCCAGTTGTTTGCTTATTCTCTAAGTCCTACTAAAGAAGTACATCAGGTGTTAAATGCACCTCTGCCTTAAGTCAGAATTTATATTGCTATCTTCTCTGTTGGTCAGTACTCCAGACCTGACTATGAAAACTACTTACAGAACTGCTGTAAGAGTGGGTAAAAAAAATAAAGAATAAACCTTTCTGACAAAACTTGAAAATAAATCTGAACCAGCTTTACTTTGAACTCAATACCACTTTGCAACATATGAAGCTGTATTCAAGATTCCTGTTACACAAAGAACTTCAAATCACCTTTGTTCATTAAGGACACCACAAATGAGAAAGTAGGCTGGGTATAACTAAACAGATGAAGGGATTGTCAAACCCAAACAATAGGCCCAAAGCAGAAAAAACATAATAGCGTGTTATTGTCATGTAAGAATTCAGACCCAGTGCTACCATATCTTTTTAGTTTCTCAAGAGAAGCCAGGAATATGGATTTTTGTGTAAAATCTCCCACTTAACTGGCATATTCAATTTTAACAAAATACTGTGTGTACCTAACAAAACATGTCTGGTAGTTAGATTCAACAGAGATACTATCAGTTTTAACATCTCATGTAGAGAACAAGGACAGAAATCATATAAAACAACTGCTAATATGTACTACCAGCTTAAAAACTAAGATGTGAGTTGAAGTAAATTCAGATTATCAATCTTGACTAATTAATTAGCTACGGTTTACAGGGCTTCAAATCTCCATGGAATAATCATTAAATACCTACTATTTACTAGGTAATAAACATAATCCATAAATTGATCCTTCATTTGCTAATAACCTAGAGTGGCATGTTAAAGTTATACGTTCAAATAACACCAGGGCTTCTCAACCTTGGCTGGACAATTCTCTGTTGTGGGAGGTTGTCTTGTGCCCTGTAGGATTTTTAGCAGTATCTCTGGCCTCCACCTACCAGATGCCACTAGTGCAGCTCCATTCTTAGTTGTGACAAAGATGTCTCCAGAAATTGCCTAATGTCATGGGAGATGTGGGGGGCGGGTGGGTGGTAGTGCAAAATCAACTGGTTTATCTTTACAACATCCAGTGATGGATGGTAAACAATTTCACACTTATTATCATAAATTATTTAACAGCCATACTAGTTGTGTTTCTTCTTTTCCCTTAACTTCTTCCCTAAGGCCTTCTGTATGCTCATGCATAAACATAAATCTGGAATATCCTCATTTCTCTGGCTAAATCCTACTTATCCTTCCAGTATTAGCTTACTTGCTCAGGTAAGTTTTCCCTATTCTTCACCCATTTGTCCTTTGTACTACTGACCCAATTCTAATACAAATCATTTGCCTAATTATTTAATATGTTCACCCTGCTAGAGTACAAGGTCTTTGTCAGAGTGGTGTTTACCAATGCATCCCTACCAACACTAGCTGTGACACATGGAGAGCAATCAGCATATATTTACTGGAAAATCTACAATTAATACAATTTACATACAATGAAACCTTATGGTAAACACAAAGATGTTTTCTTAAAATTCTAAAATAATTGTTTCATGTTTTTATGTAAAAGTTATCCTTAATTCCTCTTGCCTCATTTTCCACATCCAATCTACCACTAAACTGTCACTTCTACCTCCAGAACATATCTCTATGATCCTTCTCTAATGTACATTACATCATCTATGAACTGAATTACTTTATTTTTGTACTGCTTCCACTCTGCCTTCCAAAACCATCCTCTCCATAGCGGAGTGATTCCTTTAAGTAACAAATCAAATTATGTCACTCCTCTGCTAAAATCCCCCTATGACTTTCTCTAAGACCTAGAATATCTCAATTCCTCACCACCACTTACTTGTAAGGCTCTACATGAGCTGGCCCCTTTTCACTTCTATATTGCTACCTACCATCTATCTTCTCAACTACCTCTGCTCTAGGCCATTAGATACTCCTTTCACAGCCAGGAGACATCCCACCATGGATACCTTGCACTTGCTGTACCCTTTTCCTGAATGGCTGTTCTTGCATCTTCCTGAGGTTAGCTCATTCTTGTCGTGCATGGACTAAACACCTCCCTGACCAAATCATAACTTGGTCTATCAACTGATTTAAATTATCTGCATAGCATACATCATTGTCTGGATTTTTTTTCAATACTTCTATGTACTACTCTGCCCTCCTTCTCAAGTAGAAGATAAAAATTCAATGACAGGGACTTAATTTATCTCGTTCATCACTATCTCCAGCGCTAAGGACAAAATCTGGTATATATTAGGCGCCCATGTACTTTTGAACGCTGAATGTAGTTAAAGCGCAAAAACCCGTGTTTCTCAATCGCTAATCCTAACTTGGCCTCTCATCAACCTGGATGCTAACTAACCTGGAAACCCTGCACCTCCTTGACAAGTGACTTTCAACAACTGCCACGAACTAGAACGAAAGTCACAGCTGGGATGGAGAAAGACGCAAAAGGCTGTGAAGAGAGCTCCATAGTGATGAACTACCAGTCTCCCTCTAAACCAGTGTTAACCGCCGCCCCCCCCCCGAACGGAGGAAGTGGCAGAGAGCAAAATCCCAACGGAGTCGGTGTACTTAATCGCTTTCTACCTGTCGGAGGAGTCCGCGTCGTCGAACTGCCCGGGGACAACCCGACTCATCAGCAGCCGCCGGTAGTCCATCACGGAAGGCGCAGAGCTTTAGCGCCACCGGAAGCCGCTCACCCTGAGCCTGGCCAGGAACCACAGAGTGAGTTCAACTTCACGGCCTGCCCACAGACGTCCGCCTCGCACACCGATGTTAAGTCCTTGTGCCAAATACGCTCGTCACGTGCTTTAAGGAGTTAAAACCTACGGCCTTCGTACGGCGCCTCCAGATCGACCGGAAATTCCGCCCCACCGGAAATTTTGTTCTACCGGAAGTCAGGCTACCTACCTGAGTTTGCGCTGGACGGTACGCGGAGGGACACGTGTTTGTTGAGGAGAACGCGCAGTCATCTTTGTCGCTGACCCCGTGCCCACCAAAACAGCCAGAGATTTCAGTTTCTGCATCCTGCTTTGTGTGTCCCTCCCGTATAAGGACGCGCCCGCCAGCCCACAGTTTGTTCGCCTGGGGAGCTCACACCCACCATTCTCAACGGTGGTGACTGACTCGAATCCCCCCAAGGCAGAGACTGCTGGGTATGCGGAAGCCTAGCTAGCGCCTTTCCCCGCCGAGATTGGCAGGCGTGGGCGGGTGAGCGGGCGAACGTCACACGAACGTTCCTGCGCCTACATCCCAACTGCGACTTCTTAACAGCCATCCGCGGAAAGTTTTTTTCCCTCCCGCAAAGCCTGGTGCGGGTGGGGTTGGAGCAGATATCCTCATTGTGGATGCAAGAAACGGCATGGACTCTGGAAGTGAGCACGCTTTTACGATTTAAAGCGTTTAGTGCATTGTTTTGAGGTGAAAGTTGTGTTTAGAAACTTTGTCATAGGGCTGAAAAGAACTTAGAAACAAAACAGAGTTTTGACCAGTAACTCCAGTCACGCCTCTTTTTCTCCTTGCATACCTCGCTTTGATTTACTTCTTATGGGTCTTGCCCCCGGCCCCCAGTGACAAACCCCGCGTTGCGCGGTCTCTGGAGCCGCTCTAGAGCCGGGCGTGGGTGCGGAACGCGAGAGCGGAAGCACTGGCGTTGGTCCCCTTAGTCTTCCCTCGCGAGATTGAGTGATATTTCTTTTAATGCCCATCTTAAAACAGGTTTTGAGTGTCTCTGGAATATCGGTGGAAACATTTGAATAAGAATTTTAAAAGTCTAACATCTGATAAAGTCAGAATGAAAGATGGAAAAAGTAAGCCTAACTTAAAGTGGCTGATTGTGCCATAAGAACAAAGTTGTAGAAGTTTAGTAGGAAGTTCTGGGTTCACAAGTTTAAGAAATAAGGCCATCCCCGTTTGGGGTTTTTTTTTTTCCATTTGGAAAACAAAAGGTTTTCAAACCACATTCACCAAAACGCAGGTGGCATTTATGTGTTTGGAAAAAGGGAAAAATTTGAGCATAAAGTTGAATCATTCACCAACCCTGAGTAGCCTGCTAGGCTCAGTGCTTTTTTTATACTTAACCAAAGGATGACATAAATTTGAAGAAACTTAATCCTCAATAAATTATTTGATAACTCACTAAAATAACTCAGGAAAATTGGTAGTAACTGTAGATTGAGAAGGTTTAATAGAAATAAATAATTGGGGTGCAGGATTTATTAAAATTTACTTTGGCCAACACTGGTGGAGTTTTTTGCTGTAGTGGGGCATTGAAAAACGTAAATGGACTCCTCTCCAAGTATGTATAATCTGCATAATCCTTGAAACAAAGGTTAAGACTAAAACAGTAAAAGGAATAGGTACAAAATTGTGGGACAGGTTAAGACCTAGTAGGAATTTTAAAAAATAGGTGAATGGGTAGATAGGAAGGTTTTAGAGGAGAGAAGCACTTGCCAGGACAGATAAATGAAGTGGTAAGGAACAAGACCTATGCAGGGAACTGCGCCTGACTTTACCAGAGCAGAGGAATACTGGCTAGGTAAAATGGGTTCAGGCTTTGTAAAACCCAGGAAGTCAGGCAGAAGAATTTTAAGTCATTGTGATTGGACATCCTTTTCATCCCCTAATAGACTTGAGGAATCACAAGTATGTGGACCAGTGTGATGACTTACGGGATGGAAAGAAAGCATGACTTAGGAAAATTGTTTTTAAAGAGTAAATGGACGGGACTTGGTAACTGAACAGTGCGTGGACAATGAGGTAGAAGGATGCCAAACTGAGAGAATAAGTGTGGCATATGGAAGTGAGGGAAAATTCATTTACGATCTTGAATTTGAGTTGATAAATATGTAAATAGCACATACCAAGTAAATAGAAATACAGTGTTTGGTGGAACTTTATAGGTCTCTGATAATATTTTGTAAATATCTTTTGATTAAATAACTTAGAGATCCCTTCACCTTCTGGGTTCCAGGGGTTTTATGTAATTATTGGATAGTAGTCACGCATATTGATTTGCTTTTGTCTAAATTAGTATATACTACCATACAAAGTTAACATGGTATATTCAGACAAAAATTTTTTATTTTTCCAATAACTTGACAAATGAAATCTTAAAATTTAGAACAATTAACTTTTCTGTTTTCTTAATATGCAGAGGGATGGGGGAAAGCTTTTTGTTTGCATATACTAATAGACCTTAAAATTATGGTTTTTTTAAAAGCCTTCCATCATTCAACAGTTAAGAACAAGAATTATCAAAAAGTTTGGTCATCACCTTCAGATCCTGTATACTTTGAAGTGGATGCTTCACATGAAAGATTAGAAAGCATGTCAGAAGTGGATGCCATGAATTTCAGTAGTCTTTTTCAAGACTTAACACATGCAAACTCTTCCTTCCATATGCAAACCAGCAATACTACCACAGACTTGCCTCAGGTGTGCATTGCTTATAAGTAATGGGAGGTACAGATGTATTTAGCATTCACATTGTGTTCCATATGAAATGTCTTCAAAAATATAAGGAACAATAAATAAATCTCCAGTGGAGGCCTAGAAAAGAGAAATAGTGGAAATAGTTTTCAAGAAAGGTAGAATTTACAAATAGAGTGTTGAAACTGATCCTTTCTGGCCCTTTCATGAAGTCCCATGAGTGTAGCCAGAAGATATGCCACAAAACTCAGTCACAGAGTAAGGACAAGAACACAAGGTGCCTGACATCTAGTCTATTTTCATTTTAAAAAGTATTTGGTCATAATATTATGGTACTAATCAGGACCCAAGTTACTATGTACTGAATTGTAAAGAATGAATGTCTTAAATTATGTAAGTAAGGAGGTCCTCCCTCTTGGATTTTATTATAGAAAGTACTATATAGACCAGAGGAACAAAAGGCTAATTTTAGCTAAAAATAGTTATAGTATGTAAGATAAGAGTTAGAAGTGATCTCTGAATTTCAGTGAGCAGTGGAGTCCCAAGAAGTTTGTGTGAATATAACATCAGTACATGCAAGTAGTGCTATTTTATTTTTCAAGTATATTATTCCTGATACTTTAAAAATCCAGTTAGGAGAAATGGTCTAAATTAGCAACAAGTCCAAATAACAGGTAGTTATAAAATGTAACTCAGTTTTTATTGTACTTTAGGTATATTCAGAAAGTGGAACAATGCTATGAAAAGCATATTTAATAGAGATTTGTAACCAGCTGACTTTAATAAGAGATAAGAACTTTTGTAGAGCATCATTTAGTTCCACATACTTGATGTACTGTTCACGATTGAACCAATGTTTTCCTTAAACATTTAAAATATTTTTTTACTATTTTATTTATACTGTTAATTTATATAATAAACTCTCTCATCTTAGATAACATTAAGGTAACTTTGAGAATAAGCCCTACATGAATTTTTATAGATTTCTATTTACTGGATTCAGATTTTACCTCATTACCATATCCCTATTTTATATATCCATGGTTAAAAACTTGAAGAGACCATATTTAGCTAACATCAAAGAATTATCACTAAGAGATATATAGGTTATCATATACTCCTATGCTTATAGGAACACAATTTGACTTACAAAAAAAACCAAAGTATTAAAATAGCAAGATAATTCTTTAACTCTCAAATATTATGACTTTATTAGCATTGTTTTACTAAAAAAGCTCAAATATGCAGTGGGGAAAGATACTAGAAACCACATTCTACCTGAGCAAGAAAAAATTTTGACAAAAATTACATAGCAGTGTACAAATACCTTTAGAAGAGGCTTATGATGTTTGAAGTATTAATATTGATGCCTTTTTTTATTATTAATACAGAATGAAATAAAGACTTTAAAAAGGGAAAATGAGCCAAAAGTCACACTTTCTGAAGAAATTTATAGCACACTAGATGGTTTGTTAGGTGGTGAGTATGTCTTTGTTGGCAATATACAAAGAAACTAAGATCTTTTTGTGTTCTATGTATAGATTAAACAAATAGGGAGATAAAGTTATACATATGCGCATGTGTGTATATGTATAATGATGCTTTTTACATAAGATTTTAAAACAGAAAACAATACTTTATAACCACAGTTTGCACAGGGTGCTGCAGGGTATTTTGATGTTTGAAGGAAACAGTGGTACTAAACATTTTTTGGACATCACAAATTACTAGCATGAGATAGCTCACTGTTTCAATGTACAGTGGCACCTTGGTTCTCAAACTTAATTCATTCCAGAAGGCTATTTGAAAAGCGATTAGTTTGAAAACCGAATCACACCTAAGAGATGTGTAACTGATCATACAGGTGTCAGCATGAAAGGGTTAACAGGTTGAGAACCAAAGTTTTATTCAACAACCAAGACATTTTTTCCATGAACAACCTGGGTGAGAACTGAATTGTTCAAGATGGGAGACATTTGAGAACTGAGGTTTGACTGTAAAACCACACTACAGTACTTTCTAATTAACATCTTATTTACAAAACTGTGGTTTTGGAGATTGCTGTGATAAGAAGCAAGTATTGCATGAAGATCAAGGTGAAATATGTACTGAAAGTTGGCCTTGTCCAATCTGGACAATGAAATAATGAGTTTGGTTGTTTAAGAACAAAATAAAAAATTTGTTTTCAATTTATGTGTGTTTGGAAACAGCTATTAAGTTGATAGGACAAATAATTGTTCAGTTGTTTGAACTTAACTACTTAACAAATGGAACTGTTAGGTATAGGGGTTCTGTGAAAAAACTACTGAGTAATTAAGGTGTCACAGAATGAGAAAGTCTGGGAACTTGGTATGTATTATTTAGGGTTACATAAGTGACTAGTAAAAAAATGTGGATGGGAAGAATGAGTACATAACCAATTTCAGCAATAGTGGTTATCTCTGGGAAAGGAAAAAGGAAGCAATTTAGGTAGAAGGGAGGAATCATTAATTTTGCAGCACTATTTCTATTTTGCCTTATTTGCTTCTGGTTTTTAAAAATATTAAATCTGGGTAATTTGTCACATTGAGAGACTGTATATAGCATACCATTTAGAAGTAGTATCCTAGAATCTTACCAGCTTTGTGATATTAGGCAAGTGATTTAACATCTCTTATGTCTGTTTCCTTATCTGTAAAACAAAGATAATAATAGTACCCATATGGGATTGTTGTGAGATTAAACAAAGGTATGTGTGTTTGCTATATATATTCACTGTGCTTTTGCATTCTTTTAAAACATTTTGTAATTAAAACATTTTAAAATTACAGTACAACAAAAGAATTTTTTAAAGATTTTATTTATCTTTAGAGGGGAAGGGAAGGAAAGAGGGAGAGAAATATCAATGTATGGTTGCCTCTCTTGTGTCCTCTGCTGGGAACTGGCCTGCAACCCAGGCATGTGCCCTGACTGGAAATCGAACCGCGATCTTTTGCTTCACAGGCCCTTGCTCAATCCACTGAGCTACACCAGCCAGGGCCAACAGAAGAGTTTCGATGATATCTTGGACTTTGTTGTACCAGTATTTGACAAGAATAATATAAAACAAGCTTTTTGAAGGAGTCATTTGAGAACTTTCTCCCATGTAAAAAAAGTTGTTTTGTTTTGTTACTAGCACAAAGCCATGCTAAAATCTACTCAGTGCTGAAGGTTGAGATATATATAATTCTTTTTTTTTTTTTTAAAGATTTTATTGATTTATCTTTAGAGGAGAAGGGAAGGAGCGAGGGAGAGAAACATCAATGTATGGTTGCGTTTGTGCGTCCCCTGCTGGGAACTGGCCTGCAGGGAACCTGCCTGCAACCTGGGCATGTGCCCTGACTGGGAATCGAACCGTGATTATCTGGTTCGCAGGCCCGCGCTCAATCCACTGAGCTACACCAGCCAGGGCTACATAATTCTTAAAAGGCTCAAAAACTTTATTTCATAAGTATTAATGTAACTGTTAATACATACATTTATGGTCAGCTAATCTTATTTTCTTCTATCTCTCTCTAACGAGATGTCAACAATGGAAATTATTCACAGGATGTGCTAACTGGGCCCATTGACACCAGCATTTCTTCCTTCAGACAGTGTGAACCCGTTTGCAAATTTCATCAGATGAAAACATTTAATGATGAAATGATAACATTTCAAAATCCAACAGGTGGCATTCCTTACACAGAGAAGCCAGAAATGCAAAGTCATGTATATAATTATGCAAAAGACAATAATATAAAGGAAGATTCAGTTAAGGAAGAAAATTCAGTGGAAACTGGCACTTCCACAAATGAAGACCAACTTGCTCATGAATGTGTCAGGCAACCTCCTAGAAGTCCTGGAATCCACTGCAGTATAGAGACACTGAAATTCATGGACATGTCACTGGCTAAAAATACTGCCGAAGACTCTGCCCTCAACCCTAATCAACCTGAAAGCTTCTTGTGTAAAGAATGTATGAACAGTGATGTTGAAAACCCATTTTACAAAGAGAATAGCTTTAACCAGTATGATCTGAGAGCTAATTATAAAACAGAGGAGGTAAGATTTTTCATGGTCAGTACAGCCTGTACAGTATTGAAGGATGTTTTATTTTTGAGCAAAATGTCAAAACTTCTATTTTTTTTAAAAAAATTTATTGTATATTCTCCATTTCTGTTTAGTTCCCCTCAAAGCCTTCTCTTCACCCCCAAACCCCTATCCTGTAATCACCAGACTGTTGTCTATACCATGAGTCCTTTTCCTTTTTGCTCAATCCCTCTACCCAACAGGTGGCAAACACAATGCCTGCGGGCCAAATCCGGCCCTCCACCTTGTTTTATCTGGCCTGGCACCTTGTTTCTACCCAGCATCATCACTGAGCTCTCGCTTAACTATTAAGGAGTAGTTAAATTTACACAATCCTAAAATTATATTTGGCCATTTGAAGGCAACTGCGAGACTGGTGTGGCCGCCAGAGAATATGAGTTTGACACCCCTGGTCTACCCCAACATCCCCCAGCCCTTAGCTGACATCCTGCTCTCTATCTGTGAAACTGTCCCTATTTTGTTTGTTCAGTTTGTTCATTAGATTCCGTATATGAGTGACATTGTATGGTATGTATCTTTGTCTGGCTGATTTTGCTTACATAAGTTTCTCCAGGTGTATCCTCATTGTTGCAAAGGGTAAAATCTTTTTTTACAGCCAAGTAGTATCCCATTGTGTAAATATCCCATCACTGTTTTATCCACTCATCTACTAATGGACACTTAGGCTGCTTTCATATGTCAGTGATTGTAAATAATGCTGCAATGAACATAGGGATGCTTATGATCTTTTGAATTAGTGTTTTAGTTTCCTTCAAATATATTCCCAGAAGTGGGACAGCTGGGTACAAAAGCAGATCCATTTTAATTTTTTGAGATATCTCCATACAGCTTTCCATAGTGGTTGCACTAGTCGGCAATCTGGTTCAAAAGAGTTTCCCTTTCTCTACTTCCTCACTGGCACTTGTCGTTTGTTCATTTATTGATGATAGCCATTCTGAATTTGCATTTCTCTGATGATTAGTGACGTTGAGCATCTTTTCATATGTTTGTTGGCTATCTGTATATGCCCTCTACGGAGAACTATCTGTTCAGGTCCTTAGCCCATTTTTTAATTGGAGTGTTTGTTTTTCTTTTGGTGTTGTGTAAGTTATCTATAAATTTTGGGTATTAACCCTTTAACAGATGTATCAATGAATATATTCTCCCATTCTGTGGGTTGTGTTTTTATTTTGTTGCTGTTTCCCTTGTGGTGCAAAACCTTTTTAGTTTGATGTAGTCCTTTTTGTTTATATTTAATTTTGTTTCCCTTGCCTCGGAGTCAATATCTGAAAAAATATTGCTACAAGCAATGTCCGAGATTTTGCAGCCTGTTCTATCATTTTTATGGTTTTCAGTCTAACATTTAAGTCTTTAATTCATTTTGAATTTATCCTTGTATGTGGTGTAAGAAGGTGATCTAGTATAATTTTTCTGCATGTATTTGTCCAATTTTCCCAACAGCATTTATTGAATGCACTGTCTTTAGCCCATTATATGTGCTTGGATGTTTTGTTTTAAGTGTATAATCTGAGACCTTTCCAAGTCATGATAAATTATTTAATCAGTACAAGGCACATTGCTTCTCTGAGGAAAATGCCTTCTTAGATCTTGATCAATTTAGAAATAAATTTTTCTAATAAAATTAAGCTCATAACTTGGATATTTGCTCTACCAAATGATCATTTCTTTGAGGATCAGAGCTCTGTCCTCCTTCTCTTACACATTTTAGCATCTACATGGTGCCTTGATTATAGTAAGCTCTTATATTTGGTGAGTTAAGTTGGCTAGAACTCAGTATACAAATAGAAAAATGTTGTGAAGAGCAAGCAATACAGAGGTATTAAATTATTTGACAAGAAATGCTTAAGATTTTTCTATCATATGGTATTTTTATTGGCAAGGAAAAATTTTTTTTACCAAAGCGAAAACATTAACTTGTCTTTTGATTTATTAATCCTGTGCATGTAGTATCCTAAGAACATGAAAGATACTAATAGCATAAATTCTGTGTGCTCTGACCAAGAAAATTTTTAAAGAATTGGCATGGGCAAGTAGAAAAAAAATCAAATAATAGCATAAGTGATATCTTTTTATTGTGAGTTTGATGAGAAAAGCTGTGATTATTATGCTTAATATGCAAGTATAACCAGTTTTTTGTTCATTTATTTGGAAGCAGCATTTATTTATTTATTTATTTGTTTGTTTATAATTGTTGTTCAAGTACAATTGTCTCCCTTTTCCCTCCACTACTCCCCTTTGGCTTTGTCCATGTGTCCTTTACACATGTTCCTTGATGACCCTTCCCCTTTTTCCCCCTATTTTCCTCCTATTTTCCCCACTCTCCTCCCCTCTGGTTACTGTCAGTTTGGTTTTTATTTCAATGTTTCTGGTTATATTTTGCTTGCTTACTTGTTTTGTTGATTACATTGCACTTATAGACGAGATCATATGGTATTTGTCTTTCACTGCCTGGCTTATTTCACTTAGCGTAATGCTCTTCAGATCCATCCATGCTCTCCCAAAGGGTAGGAGCTCCTTCTTTCTTTCTTTCTTTCTGCTGTGTAGTAATCCATGGTGTAAATGGGCCATAGTTTTTGATCCACTCATTTACTGACGGGCACTTAGACTGTTCCCAGCACTTGGTTATTGTAAATTGTGCTGCTGTGAACATTGGGGTGAATAGGTTCTTTTGAACTATGGATTCTTAGGGTTCTTAGGGTATAATCCCAGCAGTGGAATTGCCAGGTCAATGGGCATTTCTATTTTTAGTTTTCTGAGGAAATTCCGTACTGTTTTCCACAGTGGCTGTACCAGTCTGCATTCCCACCAATAGTGTACTAGGTTTCCTTTTATCTGCAATCTCTCCAACACTTGTTGTTTGTTGCTTTGTTTTTGATGGCCATTCTGACCAGTGTAAAGTGGTTTCTCATTGTGGTTTTAATTTGCGTCGCTTATGGCTAGTGATGCCGAGCATTCTTTCATATGACCCTGGGCCCTCTGTATGGCCTCCTTGGAGAAGTATCTGTTCCGGTCCTTTGTCCATTTTTTAATTGGGTTGTTTGTCTTCCTGGAGTGGAGTCATGTGGGTTCTTTATATATTTTGGAGATCAAACCCTTGTCCAGGATATCATTTGCAAATATATTTTCCCATACAGTTGGTTCCCTTTTCATTTTGCTGATATTTTCTATAGCCATGCAGAAGTTTGGAAGCAGCATTTAAAAGAGGCCTTTATTTCCCTATATTTGTTTCTGGAAAATAACATTTTAAAAATCTGTTTCATTAGGATTTCCAAAGATTATTCCTTTCTATTTCCATTACATTTACTTATTTATTCATTCAGTCATTAAATACTTTCAGGCTTCTAATATAGGCTAGGCCCTATGCTATGTGTTGATCATATAATAGCTTAAAAAAAGATGTAAATTTTCTCATCATGAAAATAATATCTTAGTAGAAGAGATAGATATCAATCAAATAATTACACAAATAAATGCAAATTTTCAAATATGGTAAGTATTGTGAATAAAACTTACATATAAAGTGTAAGAAGCCCTGGCTGGTATGGCTCTATGGGTTGAGCATTGGCCTGCAAACTGGAAAGGCCACTGGTTCTATTCCCCGTCAGGGCACAGGCTGGGGTTGCAGGCCAGACCCCTGGTTGGGCATGTACAAGAGGCAACTAATTGAAGTTTGTCTTGTACATTGATACTTCTCTCTTTCTCTTTCCCTCTCTGTTCCTTTCAAAAAAAATAAGTAAAATCTTTTAAAAAATAAAGTGTATGCAAAATGTATATGATGTTATGTAAAATTACATACAGACTTGCAGCAATGATTGGTGCTGCAAATAAAAGTAGGGTAAGTGTCTTACAACCCTGGTCAGGGAGTTTGGAGAAGGCTTCCTGGATGTAGTGGGAATTGAGCTGAGCTCTATAAGTTGAGTAAGAGTTAATTAAGTACCTGGGGCTGGAAGAGCCTTCCATGTAGAAGTAACATGCAAAAAATATGTGGCTGCAAGGAGCACAGTCCCTATTAGGTCCTGAAAGAAGACCATGGTTGCTGAGTTGGAGGGAGCAACAGGGATGTAGTAGATGAGGATGGAGAGTAGCATGGGTCAAATGTCAAGATCAGATATGACCTTGTAGGTTCCAGTAGGGATAGTTGTCTGTATCCTAGAACAGTGAAGAAACATTAAAATACAGAGGTTTAGCCCTGGGCAGGTGGCACAGTTGGTTGGAGCATCATCCCATGCACCAAAAGGTTGCAAGTTCCATTCCTGGTCAGGGCACATACCTAGGTTGTGAGTTTGATCCCCAGGCAAAGTGCATACAGGAGACAACCGATGGATGTTTCTCTCTCACATTGATGTGTCTGTTTGTCTGTCTCATCAGTAAACATATCCCTGGGTGAGGATTAGAAAAGTAAAATAGAAAATATAGGGGTCCAATATCTAAATTCTAGAAAGTGGTACAGCCCACTCCTACAAATATCTTTTACTGTTTTTTTTTATGTAATCATTTCAGCTTTGTTTTACTACAACATACTATCCTTTTTAAACCCCACCCCCTGCCCAAACCTGTATTTTGGGCAGAAATCAACCACAAGACATGTTCACCTGGCATTCTAATGTTTACGAGAGTCATAGCACAATGAAATAATGGTTTAATGAGAAATGAAAAAAGGATTCAAAAGAGGCCTCACAGTCTGTAGGGTAATTGGTAAATTTGTTTTAATTTATGTGAAGTCAAAGAATGCATGTTATATGTGTCCAGAAAATCTTGTATCAGAGAAGATGGTGACAGTATCAAAGTTTAATTTTTTTTGTAAAAGGAAATGGGATACATATTTTATCATACACCTGTTGTATGTGCTCTGCTATGCTGTTAGATGCTATACATACATTTAGCAATTAATACTTAAGTATTTTTGTTAAGTAGGTGTTATTATTAGAAGTAGATATAGTTAGTTATTTTATGGCTGAGGACACCAAACTAGGGATCTACGATTCAAGACCGGCTCTGACTTCAAAGTTCAAGGTAATTCTACTCTTTCACTCTTATTTACTCTTAATTTATAGGTTACAGTTTCTTCAAAAGGGATTCAGAATTCTGGGGAGATTCCTGAGATGTCAGTCAGTCACCAAGAGGAAGTCGCAGTGGAGGACATGGAGAGTCTAGAGATTGTATCAACTTACTCTCCCGCAGGCATTGTGTGGAGTGGTGGGGCATCTTGGGAGGACTGCGAGATACCTGAGGCAGAGCAAAGTTTGGAAAACTTACAACCTCTGGAAGAGGATATGGCTTTAAATGAAGTCTTACAGAAATTAAAATATACTAACAAAAAGCAGCAAATTCTGATCCAAAACCTACAATGTACTAACATGTACTTAGAGAAGAAAGTTGAAGAATTACTGGTGAAGACTAACAAGCAGCAGGTGTTGGTCGATATCATAAATAAGCTAAAGGAGAATGTCGAAGCATTAATTGAAGACAAATACAGAGTAATGATAGAGAAGAGTGAAACTGACAAGACATTGCAGAATTTGCATGACATTTTAACTAACACCCAAAAGCATCTTCAGGAATCTAGAAAAGAAAAGGAAATCTTACAGGTAGAGCTTAAGAGGATCAAGGGAAATTATGTTTGTCTACAGGAAAGGTACATAACTGAAATGCAACAAAAAACGGAAACTGTTAGTCAGTACATAGAGATGGGCAAAGCCTTAAGCAAGAAAGAAGAAGAGGTAGAGAGACTGCAGCAACTCAAAGAAGAATTGGAAAATGCTACGACTTCTGCTTTGGACTTATTGAAAAGGGAAAAAGAGTCCCGAGAACAAGAGTTTCTGTCTTTACAGGAGGAATTTCAGAAACGTGAAAAGGAAAACCTGGAAGAAAGACAGAAACTGAAATCTAGACTTGAGAAATTGGTAGCTCAATTTAAAAATGTGCAATTCATGTCTGAAAGTGAAAGGGCCAAGAATACAAAGCTTCAGCAGAAGATCAATGAAGTAAAAAATGAAAATGCAAAACTTCAGCAGCAGGTTGCAAGGAGTGAGGAGCAAGATTATGTCCCTAAATTTGAGATAGCTCAGTTAAAGGAGCACTTAGAGGAAGTAATGAAATCAAATATCACAAAGGTACTATCACAAATTCAAAATCTCTGGTGTATGAATTTCAGGGGTTTCTAATAATTTGGTGATGCATTATTAGGCATGATAAATATTTTTGCATAAAGAATTATTAAGCAAAAGAAAAATGGAAAATGCACCAAAGGTTTGGAGAAGTTTCTTTGGGTCTTGGGTATTTGTATTAAAGAACAGCCATTTCAAGTCTCTTGTGATTATTATGGTAAAGATGAAAATGTCAGAATTTTTGTGGGTACCTCTGACCAATAATCTGAAGCATCCTTTGAGAAAGAATTTTTTAAAAAGTGGAGATTTTAATCTTTTCAACAATAAAAGTAAATAATATAATTGCATATTTGGTTTACCAACTTATATCACATTAATATTGTAAAATTATAAACATGTTTATTGAGATGTAATCGAGAAATAACATTCTATTAGTTTCAGTGTACAACATAATGGTTTGGTATTTGTATACATTGCAGAATGATCACCGCAGTAAGTCTAGTTAACATCAATTAAAAACTGTGAGAGTATGAGAGCTTCATGTCAATATTTTTGGAGGGGCTGTAATTTGGTATTCTCTGAAGTTCAAATGGCTGTTTTGGCAGCCGAGAACCTGGAAGCATGTCCCAGAAGTAATAAGTTTCACAAGACAGAGTAAACCTATTTCAGTTGTATAGGCCTGCCTTAAAATAGTAGTACAACCTTAAAAACTCTGACTACTTAGAAAGAAGGCTAATCTGAAAAAGAAAAATGTCTAAGTTTATTTTTTATATTTGTTATACCTTGAGCTGATATTTTGCCTTGAAGATGTACTGGGTGGACTCTCTTTCATGAATCTGTAATCAGTACATATACTCACATATAATGTTGCAGGTACAGTAAATAATTCTATTTTTAATGATTCTTAGGAAACTACTCTCTCTGTTTAAAAAACTTTCTCTCTGATCTTTTCTCCAGAAAGAAGGAAGAATTATCTAAGCCAGTGGTTCTTAAACTTCAGCATTCATCAACATCAGCTGTGAAAATGCAGATTGTTGGGGCCCAACCCAGAGTTTCTGATTCAGAAGGTGTGAGGTGGGGCCTAAGAATGTGCATTTCTAACAAGATCTAGGTCTCACTGATGTTGCTGGTCCAGGAATCCCATTCTGAGAACCACTAACATAAGCAAAGATGACATTAAGTTTAGCTGCTAACCAAATCATAACAGTTTTTAAAGCAGTAGACTCTGAATAAATTAGTGTAAATGTACAGAAGTTTATCACAGTGTATGAATTTTTTCTTCAGCTCTTTAAAAAATAAAATTCTTTGTTTTCTCTTGAATAATCAATTTATTTAATGTCCCCAAATCATCCTTACTCTGCTTTTAGTTTTGCTTTTTATCAGCTCTAGGTTTGTTTTAAGTGTGGTCTGGGAGTGTCTGTGAAGTCAAAAATATTTTTATAGTAATATAAAAATGTTATTGTCTTTTTTACTCTCATTCTTCTACAAGTATACAGTGGAGTTTTCCAGAAACTAAATGACATGTGATATCATTGTTTCCATGGCTGATACAATGTGTGAAGCAAATATGAAAATCAGCTGTCTTTCATCAAGCCAGCATTAAAAATATTTGCAAAAAATGTAACAGTCCCACTCTTTTCATTAATTTTTTTTGGAAAATGCAGTAATATTTTATTAAATTTTTACTTATAGTGACAAAATAGAATTGTTGTTATTTTAAAGTAAATATTTTTAAGTGTTCTCATTTTTCATTTTAAGAGTATAAAAGGGTTCTGAGAACCAAAAAGTTTGAGAACCACAATTCAGAGCTTTTAGTGGTATTTTAGTCAGCATTTTACTTTAAAAGTAATCCAGACTCTGTCTTATTGTGACAAATCTGGATTGCATATATATAGGATGCAAAGATGATACATTCTAATTTGTTCCTGAATTACTCACCTTGTGAAGAAGAGAGCCTGAATCCCCCAGATGTGAAAAGGACTTTCCAGCCAGCCTTCAAAATTCACAATCTTATGGCTCTGATGACAAAACTTCTCACATGCCAGGTAATTTTAAAAAATGCTTATTTTTATTGGGTGAGGGAGAAATTACTGAGGTTGGACTTAAAGCAAAAGAAGCAATGTAAGGTGACAGAATTATTAAGTCATGAAATAAAATAATGGAAGATAAAATAAAGACCCTTAAACCAACCAATCAGCCTTTTCTTCCTCCTATTGCTTCTTTCTTCAACACCTAAATCCCACAGGTCTACAGTATAGTAACATAATAAGATAAAAAATAAAGACTCCCAGTGAAATTCTTCATTTTGTGCTTCCCATTTTCAGGAAAGCTCTTTCAGAGCAGTAGTCTTACACTCTGGGTCAGTCTGCTCCTAGGGATAAGTTATTGTTTGCATTAATGAGCTGTTTACCCAATCTAAAAATATCGCATCAGGGCAAAGGGGAGGACAGCGTGGAGCTGTGTACATTAGTAGAATGAAAAATGAGGTGTTAGGTGAGTTTGAATCTTGACTTCACCACTTCCTGGGTGTATGTCTGGGCCAAGTACCTTTACCTTAGTTTCCTCATCATGTGTAGGGGAATGATACTTGCTGCCACCCTGGAAGGTAAGGAGTACCACGTTTAATGAGAACATTAAAGGACATGACACTTGATAGTTTCTCAAATTAGCTAGCTCTCTTTCCACTTTTCTTTTACTTAGATTTCTTTGATCTTAAGTGCATTCATCTGAGCAAAGTTTGATGGCATAGTTTTGTGATGTTCCTGATCCAGCACAAACCTTATTTCTATTTTGTCTTGGCTCAAATGTGTTGAACACTAGCATTTACTGAATGTGAGACACTGAGCTCAGTGTTTTATGCAGAGCTCACAAAGTAGTGGCCCATAGACTATATCTACATAAAGTTGTGTGTTTAAATATTGGAATTTGATTGTGGCACAGTCTTTTCTTGGCTACAAAACTTTTCACTGCATCTTGCCCTTCAAACATATGCTTACTCACCATATTTGCTAGATTTTCTCCTATCTCACTCCTGGCTACTGTTCTTTCTCAGTTTTATTTGCTGACTACTTCTCCTCTCCAGACCTCTCAGTAATGAAGCATAGATCTTAGTACCAATACTATGTTTTCTGATTCTCCCACCCCACCAGGACATAAACCTTCAAGATTAGAGACCTGGTATGCTGTATGTCCTGTATAACTCACACTGATTAAGCTTCAAATAGGCAAATATTTGCTGATTTCCCAACCTGTTCTTGAAGTCGTTTAAGTTTACTATTCCTGCCTTTCATGGATTAACTCTTACACCATTCTTTATATTTTTTATAAGCCTTTAAAAAAATGTGGATAAACAAACCAAAGCTTAGAATTGAGTTTCTTCTCCAAAGTTTCACATATGATAAAATGGTTGAGTTCAAGCCGAATCTCCCACACAGTCTGACTTCTGTGCATGCACTTTTGACCCTTAGATTATTTTGGTACAAGTACCTTCATTCTAGAGTTTTATCTTATTGAGGATGTCTGATTACTTTGGTGTCAGTTATAATAATTTGTCTAGAATTTGAATTTGTAAACCGATTAGGTTAGGAGGGGATGAATGTATGAATGCATGAGCATGTATAGTTATTATAAATGAATATTAACTTCCCAGTGATTATATTAACCTGTTTCAATAACAATTTATGTACAAGTATAAATCTATATGAATTCTTTCCACATTGACCCTTTATTGGGTGTATCATGATGAGTAATTAAAGAATTGAATTCAATATTATTTAACCTCCTTTGGTTTGATCATTTATTTTGGGAGGGAAATTGTTTCCTTCGTGGTTTTCCCTTCTTTTAGCTTTACTGAAAACATTTTAAACTAGCTTCTCAAACTTGTCTTTAGGACATCAGCAATCTCACTGCTGAACATTTCAAAGACTGTGAGAAAGTTAGTGATGCAGTGCTGCAAAAATTGAAGAGTTTCCATCTTAAAAAGAAAAATTTAGATGAAGAGGTACTGTATGTATTCTTTGTTCTAAAAGTGGTATTACTCTGGCTGGGTAGCTTAGTTGGTTAGAGCATCATTCCTATATGCCAAGGTTGCGGGTTCAATTCTCAGGGTACATACAAGAATCAAACAATGAATGCATAAATAAGCAACACAACAAATCAGTGTCTGTCTCTCAATTAAAAATGTTTAATAAAAATTGTATCATTTTTAGTGAAAAAATAGTCAAAGTAAAAGGGAGTATAAATACATCCTAAAAAAGAGAATCCTAAAATTTAGATTTTTTTGAGACTTCAGATAATTTTGTTCAATTGTCAGTAGCATTAGAGAAACATTGGAAATATTATAATGGAAGGTTAAAAAATGTGCTTACAGGGAGGGGTTATACTGGAATGACAGTCCCAGTGATTTAGTGTAGATATTTTTTAAAAAGAATTGTTTTTATGCACCCTGGGTGGTGTGACTTAGTTGGTTGGTCATTGTCCTCCAAACCAAAAGGTTACCTACCAGTCAAGACACATGCTTGGGTTGCAGGTTCACTCCCTGGTGCTTATGGAAGGCAACAGTCACTATTTCTCTCCCTTTCCTTCTCCCTCCCTTCCCCTCTCTCTAAGAAATAATAAAATAAAATAAAATAAGAATTGTTTTTGTGGACCAGATTAGCTTTACCATGGCTGTCACTAAGGAGATATATTGTGCAACATTTGACTTGTGTAATAATGTAGGTCTGTATTAGAAAGTCTTGTTCATCTATCAAAAAAATGGGTATGATTATTTTTTCACTTTTGCATGGCATTACTGATTTCCGAAGAATAGTGTATTTTGACATTTTTATAGTGGCTTTGTCACTTGGAATAATCTATAAACTGGAAACAAATAATTTTATTTTTCATGTGGAACAAGGGTAAGGAAGAGGCTCTTGAAGTTTCTTCAATTATTCTTTTCTTGGTGTAGTGTTACAGAGATTAAAAGGTAAAATTAAGAGAGTTAAGCCCTGGCTGGTGTGGCTCAGTTGGTTGGAATGTTGTCCCATAAACCAAAAGGTTGCTGGTTTGATTCCTGGTCAGGGTACACCTAGATTGTGAGTGTGTCCCTGGTTGGGGCACATACAAGAGGCAACCAATTGATGTTTCTCTCCCACTCCCTCTCCCTCTGTTGCACGCCTCTTTAAAATCAATAAGCATGTCCTCAGGTAAGGATAAAAAAACACAGATAGAGTAAGTTAGATAGGGATGGTGATAACAGAATGTCAACTTGTGCCATTTTTAATCTGAGAGAAATACAAAAGTGACAAATATATCTAGCTAAAGGAATAAAAACATATTTAAATCTGAAATCTTGGATTATTATAACAAACTTAGTTCTGTGCTATTAGGAAATTCTGTGAACTGAGGGAATAGAAAAGTGTTGCAGGCATTCTGGGGAAATTCTTTGGTCTCCTAGCTAACCTGTAGAGAAAAGGATCAAAAAATAAACATGCACAGAAATTATTGGCCTCCACTACTTAAACCCATCTTCAAAAATAAGCCTACTTCTGGCTAAGTTGGAGGTGTAGGTAGACACACTGTTCTTCCTTGCACAATCAAAACGAGGACAACAAAAATTTAGAAAAAAAAACACAACCAGTGTTGCATCCACCAACTCAAGAGACAAATTGTCAGAAACTTTCAGGATTCAGAGATGTTATTTTATTGGCCAAAGTTTTAACCTGGGCAGGGGCGGACCCTCAGAGTGTCCAGAGACACGGTGCTCATAAGAGCTGCAAACGAGAGCCGCCCTAAGCGCTTACAGCTAAGTCTTTTTATAGACGGGAGCAAGCAAGCATTGTATAGAAGCAAATGTGGCTGTTAGCTACTGGCTACTCGGGTAGTGCAAGCATGACCTAAGCTTTCTGGGTTTTGAGTAATGGAAAAATTTTAATCTAGACACTTGAACAGGTGGTCCTCTGCTTGTTCAGCCCCATTGGTTTTGTAGTTCCGCCTTCTCCACTCCCTATGTTCTTTCTTAATTTCCTTGTGGTTTCTGCCTCCAGGCCAAATCTCTTTAAGGCAGTCCCTATTTTATTCTCTATTTTTCTGGTTTCAATACCAGTACTGACAGAAAATTGAACTATATGGAAGTCTGACAACCAAGGAGTTAAGAAACATCCATCCAGACCGGTAGGAGGGGCAGAGTAGGGCAGCCCTATGGAGAGGACTCTCGGCAAAGCAGTGGCTGGTGACCCGGAGGCTCCAGCAGCAGTGGGCAGACCCAGTGAGGCAGTGATTGTGGAGGGGCTTGGCACACAAGGCAGCTGTCAGACCAGGTGTTCCCACCTTTGTGCACAAATAAACCAGGAGAAACTGGGGGGCGAAACAGACTGTACAACCCAGGGTCCCAGCACTGGGAAATACGGCCTCAAGACACCGATTGAAAACACCTGTGGGGGTTACGGTTCTGGGAGAGGCTCCCAGCCTCACAGGAGAATTCATTGGAGAGACCCGCAAGGCCCTAGAACGTACACCAGCCCACCCACCCAGGAACCAGCACCTGAAGAGCCCAGTTTGCTTGGGGGAAGTGGCAGGAGGGACTGAAATCCGGCAGAGAGTGGAGCAAGCGCCATTATTCCCTCTCACACTCCTCCCCCACAACCCAGTGACTAGGTTGCCCCACCCAGATGAACATCTAAGGCTCCACCACTCACTACTTAACAGGCACGACCAGACCAAAAAAATGGCCCAAACGAAAGAACAGTTCAAAGCTCCCGAAATAATACAACTAAGTGACTGAGCAGATAGCCAACCTATCAGATGCACAGTTCAAAACACTGGTGATCAAGATGTTCACAGAACTGGTTGAATTTGGTCACAAATTAGATGAACAAATGAAGGCTACACTAAGTGAAATAAAGGAAAATGTACAGGGAACCAATAGTGATGGGAAAGAAACTGGGACTCAAATCAATGGAATGGACCAGAAGGAATAAAGAAACAAATAGAAAAGAAGGAAGAAACAAGAATTCAAAAAAAATGAGGAGAGGCTTAGGAACCTCCAGGACACCTTTAAATGTTCCAACATCTGAATTATAGGGGTACCAGAAGGGGAAGAGGAAGAGCAACAAATGGAAAAGTTATTTGAACAAATAATAAAGGAGAACTTCCCCAATCAGGCAAAGGAAATAGACTTCCAGGAAGTCCAGGAAGCTCAGAGAGTCCCAAAGAAGTTGGTCCCAAGGAGGAACACACCAAGGCACATCATCATTACATTAGCCAAGATTAAAATGAAGGAGAGAATCCTAGAAGCAGCAAGAGATAAGGGGACAGTTACCTACGAAGGAGTCCCCATGAGACTGTCAGCTGATTTTCCAAAAAGAGACCTTACAGGCAAGAAGGGGCTGAAAAGAAGTATTCCAAGTCATGAAAGGCAAAGACTTACATCCAAGATTGCTCTATTCAGCAAAGCTTTCATTTAGAATGGAAGGGAAGATAAAGAGCTTCTCAGATAAAATCAAGTTCAAGGAGTTCATCCTCACCAATCTCTTATTATATGAAATGTTATAGGGACTTATCTAAGAAAAAGAAGATAAAAAGCATGTACAGTAAAATGACAGCAAACTCACAATTACTAACAACCACACCTAAAACAAAAAGAAGAACAAACTAAGCAAACAACTAGAACAGGAGCAGAATCACAGAAATGGAGATCACATGGAGGATTAGCAACAGGGGAGTGGGAGGAGGAGAAAGGGGGGAAAGGTAGAGAATAAGTAGCATAGATGGTAGATAGAAAATAGACAGGGGGAAGGTAAGAATAGTATGGGAAATGTAGAAGCTGAAGAACTTATAAGTATGACACATGGCCATGAACTAAAGGGGGGGGGAGATGTGGGTGGAAGAGGGTGTGCAGGGTGAAGGTAAAATGGGGCAACTGTAATAGCATAATCAATAAACTATATTAAAAAAACAAACAAAAAATAAGCCCAGTTGAGGCTTGGAGCAGTATGGTACAAAAATACAATTTCAGATATTTATGCCCTTTGGTAAATTTCTGTGTAATTCCTGAAATATTGGCAGATGAGGTTTACATGTTGTCTGTGATTTGATTTGGTGAAGGGCATGGAGAAAGAATGAAGTGGTTGGGAATATAAATGATACAAGATTGACCATTAGCTATTAATAGTTCAAGCTAAATGATAGATGGTGGTTTGTTAAAGATTTTCTCTGTTTTTAAAAAATATTGGAAACTGTTCATAATAAAAAATATTCTGTGCACACATTTTACTTCACTGATATTTGGCACTTTTAATTTTATTGTTATACTGAAGGAACAAATGAACAAATAAGAAATGATTATAAATTTCATGTAGAAAAGTTGACTAGTTTTTTTTCGTGAAAGAATTTTAATAGCCCGATTGTAAAAACAATGGAACATTAGGATAAGCTCCCTGGAGATCCCAAGCCCACCTTCAAGTTCAGGGATTCACTGGGACCCAAGGGACCCAGCATCCAGCGTACTCACAGCTGTGATGTGTTATTACAGTGAGAGGATAAAAATCAAAATCAGCAAAAAGAAAAGGTGCAAAAGAAACCAGATTCAAGCTTGCATCCATCCTCTCTCAGTGGAGTCTAATAGGATTCCTTCCCCCAGCAGTGAGTTATGACAACACATGTGAAATATGTCTACCACAGAGACCCACGTGAGACCCAGTACCCAGGGTTTTTACTGGGGGCTGTTCACATAAGCATCTTCTGCCTAGTATATATCAAAGTGATAAACCCTCGAGGTAGAAAGAGGTGTTCAGCATAAACCACATTCTTTGTACAAATATGTTAGGCACAATGAGCGATTCATTTCAGGAAAGGATGGAAACCCTCCCACAATTCAAGTTCCCAGATACAGTCGGAGGGCAGCCTCGCTAGCAGGCCTTTCTAAGGATAGCAGCCTCAGGCCTGCTGTATGAACTCTTTTTTTTTTCGGGACAAAAGCTGTAAAAACAGCATGTCTTTTGGTAGACCAAGAATTGAACTTTGCATGGTTTGATGATTTTATTATAAATGTTATAGAATGAAGTTTTATTTACTCTTCTCTGAAATGTAAAATGCTTTTTCCTCCTAGCTACAGAAACATAAAGACAGAATCGCAACTTTTAGAGAGTTAATTGCTAATGAAAAAGCATTTCAAGATCAAGTGATTGACGTGAGTTTAAATTTACTACGTACTGTCTTTAATTTGCAAAAATATAATTTCAGATGTTTATATTCTTTTGGTTTAAATTCTTCTAGCTCTAAGCTCTACACTTGTAGCTACTGAAAATCTCTTCGTTTCCCTAGTAAAGTACTTATTTTTAAATGCTCAAAGTAGTGTGAAAGTATTAGAAGTGAGCACAAATATATTGAATTTCAGGTTACAGACTTTGACTCAAATGAAGCCAAGAGTGCGAATTCAAATGAAGTCAGAGATGTACCCACCTTATTGGGAGCCAAACTGGATAAGTACCACAGTCTAAATGAAGAGCTTAATATCTTGGTAAGAAAAACTTTTTGTTGCTTTGCTATCATTTTTACATCTAACACCATTTTATTAACAAGTTTAAGAAATTTGCTCATTAAAATGATCACACACTGGTATTGTGGCAATATTGTTCACCTACAAAGTAGAGAACTGAACTTTTGCATTTTCAGGTTTTGAAATTTTACATAATGTCCCGTCTGATTTCTATTTAGACTAATCAGATTAATTTCTTTCAAAATGTAAAAATCAAAAATATTTCTGTTTTTAATAATGAAGTATATTTACATTGTTGCATATGCTACCACTATTCTTACAGCGATAGCTGTTTATAACCACCATGATTAAGGGGTGCTTTGAGAAATAAAGAGCTATCCCTTTATCTCAAAAATAAATATTCTTTAAGAAATTCTATGTTCTTCTTTCTTTAATCTGAGTTTAAGCAAATAAAAAATTCAATTGAGGACTTATAAGAGTTATTACTTTGATCTGGAAAGCTATTAAATAAATTCAAACTATGAATTTCTTAAAGAATTCCATGAAGTCTATAATGAAAAAAAGAAATCCATACTGCTGCAGTAAAACATCCTGAGTTATGTAAAGCTAAGAGTGGAACTCTACCCTCTAAGAGCAAGAAGATGGGTTGCAAAGGAACAAAATAGAAAAGGCTTTATGCTAATGGTTGATAAATATTTTCCACTTCTAGACATATCCTTTCAAAAATCCTTTACATTCTCTTCACCTTGGTTTCATCTGTTAAATTTAGGTGATAATATCTGTACTCCCTACTTTAAATAATGTATGCAGTCAGTTCAATAGGACCACTGATTTGAAATCATCCCATTAATTCATTTACGTAAGAAAGAAAAAAGTTGCTATCTCTGAAGTGAAGTTGTTGGTCTTTGCTTCCTGGGGATATGTAAGTATTTTAAGACATTAGAAGATTGATGGCCATTCTTAACATGGTTATTTAATGGGGATATTTCTGTTGTTTTTCTTCTGTTGTAATTTTCGGGTTTTTTCTGTTGTAATTGCTTTGAAAATTAAGGTAACTGCTAAGGGAACTTGTGAACACCCTTTCCTGAAAATTAATTTTAGATGTCACTTGTAGGATACAGATTTTAATTTTTAATAGTTTCCTGCAAATAAAATTCAACCATAGGTCAGAATATGACATACATTGAGCTGAGCCTTTTTAAAAACTGGCAGTCATTTATGCAAGTGAGAGTATTTATCACAGCTGAAAATACAGTGTCAAGCACAACAACAGTATTTACTCAGACGTAAGTAAGTCTTTACATTGGTTACATATGGAAAGATGGTAGGGAAGAGTCGGGGGCTAATAAATACTTGTATTCACTAACAGGTGTTTAATTATGTGCAAAGCTGTTTCAGAGTGTTAAATTAGAGAAAAGCCAAAACATAACTTCTGCTCATCTATTCTAAATGCAATCTAACTAGGATCCGGTTCATAACAACTTTTTAAAATTTTTATTAAATCGATTGGATTGATATAGGTTAATAAAATTGTATAGCTTTCATGTGTACAGTTCTATAATACATCATCTATATATTGCATTGTGTGTTCACCAGCCAAAGTCAAATCTTCTGTTATCCTATATTTGACTCCATTTAACATTGTCTACCTCTGCACACCCCATCTTTCCCTCTGGTAGCCACCATAGTGCTGTCTCTATTGGTTCATAGAATCTCTTGATTTGCCTACAATAAAACTCAGTTTGAGAGAATATTGGAATAAAATATAGCTCACAGTTCTCACTTGTTCTTAGCATCCATGCTTTCATGGCTGTTTTCATGTTAATATTTTTACTTATGTTTCTCCATAGATTGCAAAATTGGGAAATCTTCTAGAGTCAAAAGAAGGCCACTGTACCAGACTCATTGAAGAAAATGACAAGTATCAAAGACATTTAGGCAATTTAATAAATAAGGTACAAATGTTCTTACAGAAATTTTAAAAACTATGTCAAATATTAAAATAATATAATTTGATAGCTAAAAAGAATCTGACGGATGATACAACACATTTATATTGATTTTTTTTACTTCATAATCACATTATAAAACATTCCTATTAGCCTTCTGGCTGAAAGTTAGCAAAAGAACATTGTGTATATCTATCCTGCTGTCAGCAACTTCACTTCTTAATATTGCTACTTCATTATAGGGTAATTTTTAATTTTGCCAACTCAGTGTTGTAGTTTGCCTTTCAGAAACTGCATTAACATATGGAAGCAATCCAAGGGCCCATCAATAGGTGGGTGGATAAAAAAACTGTGGTACATATGTACAATGGAATGTTACTTGGCAATAAAAAAGAATGAAATTTTACCTTATGGGACAATGTGGGTAGACTAGAGGTTATTATGCTAAGTGAAATAAGTCAGAGAAAGATAAACACCATATTATTTCACTTGTATGTGAAATCTAAAGAATAGTGTAAATGAACAAAAAAGAAACAGACTCATAGATACAAAGGACAGACTGATGGTTGCCAGAGGGAAAGGAGGTTGGGGAACTGAGTGAAAAAGGTAAAAGGACTGAGAAGTATAGATTGGTAGTTACAAAATAGTCATGGGGATGTAAAGCATAGCATATAAAATAGTCATTAGTACTGTAATAACTATGTATGGTGCTAGGTGATTACTGGAAATATCAGGAACACTTTTTAAAGTATATAATTATCTAACCACTATGCTTTACAACTGAAACTAATACAAAATAACATGAAATGTAAAAAAATGTGATTTTTTCCTTGACATGATTCTATATTTTAAAAGCTTTACAATATGAACCAGGAACTCTATTCTTAGGTATATATCCAAAATAAATGAAAACATATGTCCACACAAAAACTGTACACAAATGTTTAAAGCAGCATTATTCATAATAGCCAAAAAAGTGGAAAGAATTCAAATATCCATCAGCTGATGACTAAGTAAATAGTATGTGGCATATCCATATGGTGGAATATTATTTGACAATAAAAGGAAATGAAATACTGATAAGTGCTACTACAACATAGATGATCTTTGAAAACATCATACTATGTGAAAGAAGCCAGTCACATATTATATGATTCTATTTATCTAAACAATCCAGAATGGGCATTTCTGTGACAGAAAGCAGATTAGTGGTTCCCCAGGATTTGGAGTATGGAGGGAGTGGGGAGTGACAGCTAAGAGATATGAAGTTTCATTTGGGGGTAAAATGAGAATGTCTTAGACTTGACTGTGGTGATGAATGCACATATTTGTGAATACATGAAAAGCCATTGAACTATATTTTAAATGGGTCAACTGTATGCTATGTGAATTATATCTTAATAAATTGTTAACAAAAAATGTTAAACTGCATAAACTTTGACCAAATGGGCTATATCTCTTAGCTGAGATATATACCACTTTGTCTAAGAGATGACTGGATCATAGTTGATTCACTACAGTTGTCCATTTTTTTTATGCTTCATTTTCTGCATGTTGAATAGACATATTATAATTCCATTTCTATTTCTATTTTCAAAATATAAGGAAGACGTTTGCCTTTTTTAAAACTTTTATTGGTGGGAGTCATTTAATTGAACTTCAACTGGTAGAGATTTTAAAGCAAAAAAAATGAAATTAAATAAAAATTCTAGAATTAATCCAAGAATAAATTGTTTAGCTTATTTATTCAAGGTTACATCATATGAAGAAATTATTGAATGTGCTGATCAGCGGCTCAAGAGATCTCACTCCCGGATTGCACAGTAAGTTGAAAAATCTTAGTTTTTAATTTTGTAAACATTTACTGATATTTTATTTTACTCTCTGGCCTTCTAAATTCATTTTTTCTTAAACTCCTAGAAAGAAGAAAAGTGTGAAGTTTTATAAATTAAGACCATTCTTCAATAATATAGTTAGTCTGCTGAATATCTGGACTATCTGAATCACCAGATTTTCATCTTTCTTTCTCAGTGTTCTCTTTGATTTAGGGGAAAAGGGGCAGGAGATAAAGGAATTAGTGAGAAACATCCAAAAACTTTGGAGAATATTGCTATAGTATTCAAGTAAAGTAACCTTGAAATGCTTAGGATTTATTCACAAAAAAATTTTTGATGTACATCAAATGAAACATACATACGTATATCAAGTACCAAATTAAACTTTCTCATTAAAATGAGATTTAGCTTAAAACACTCCCAAATTGGTGTTTTTAATTTTGCAGTTTTCCCACTTATTTATTATCCTCATTTCTCATATGCTTCTTCCTTCATCCTTCCTCCAAGTTTATTTACACACTGTGCTTATTTACAAATGTGGTATTGTACTTTGGAAAGTTTGCTTTTGTTTTTTACAATTGTTTCTAAGCAGAATGAATGATAAAAAAACAATTTTCTCACTTTTCAGATTGATGAAGGCAAGTTTTAAATTTGGTCACAGATGAGGACATTGTCATACACTCAAGAGAAGTAAAATTAGACTGTCTCTTGGTTTAGAACCAAGAAAACAGCCCACTCACAATAGTGTAGAAAAAAATAAAAGTAAAGAATAATCTAATATTTTAAAAACAATATTAAAGCAATACTTGGGCTGTATTGCTTTGTCCCAGTTATTTTTAAAATTCAAAAAAGTTTAAAATTATATTTCAGTTGAGTAGTTGATCTGGTTTGTGTTCAAGAAGAAATATAGCATCTGAATTTCATAAACATTATTTAAAAGGCTGTCACCTGTGGTTGCTTTATTAGAATTGCCTTGAATGCTTCTTTCAAAATATCCAATGCCCAGGCTCTACTTCCAGATCAAATAAGCTAAAACACCTGCTGGGAACTGGGCATAGGTATATTTCAGAAGCTATCCAAATGATTTTAGTGTCTGGACAGGTCATGAACCACTGCCAGATATCACCTGGGTTGATTTGCTTTAAGTGATTAGGACTGTCATTTTTTATTTTTTATTTTGTTTTATTTTTATTTATTTATTTTATTGATTATGCCATTACATTTGTTCTATTCTCCCCCTTCTTTCCCCTCCACCCTGCACACCCCTCCCCCACCATTTCCCCCCCTTTAGTTCATGACCACATATCTCCAGTTCTTTAGATTCTGTATTTCCCCTACTATTCTTACCCTCTCGCTATCTATTTTCTATCTACAGTCTATACTACTTATTTTCTGAACCTTTTCCCCCCTTCTCCTTCTCCTGCTCCCTTATTGCTAAACCTTCATGTGATCTTCCTTTCTGTGGTTCACTACTGATCTAGCTGTCCTCTTAGTTTTCTTTTGTTTCAGGTGTGGTTGTTAATAACTGTGAGTTTGCTGTCCTTTCACTGTTCATCTTTTTCATATATAAGTCCCTATAACATTTCCTATAATAAGGGCTTGGTGATGATGAACTCCTTGAACTTGATCTTATCTGAGAAGCATTTTATCTGTCCTTCCATTCTAAATGAAAGCTTTGCTAGATAGAGCAATCTTGGATGTAGGTCTTTGGATTTCATGACTTGGAATACTTCTTTTCAGCCCCTTCTTGCCTGTGAGGTCTCTTTTGAGAAATCTGCTGACAGTCTGATGGGAACTCCTTTGTAGGTGACTGTCCCCTTATCTCTTGCTGCTTCTAGGATTCTCTCCTTCATTTTAATCTTGGCTAATGTACTTGTGATGTGCCTTGGTATGTTCCTCCTTGGGTCCACCTTCTTTGGGACCCTCTGAGCTTCCTGGATTTCCTGGAAGTCTATTTCCTTTGCCAGATTGGGTAAATTCTCCTTTATTATTTGTTCGAATAAGTTTTCCACTGGTGGCTGTTCCTTTCCCCCTTCTGGTACCCCTATAATTCGGATGTTGGAGCATTTAAAGATGTCCTGGACGTTCCTTAGCCTCTCCTCATTTTTTTGAATTCTTGTTTCTTCATATTTTCCTGTTTGGTCATTTGTTTCTTCCTTCTGGTCCACTCCCTTGATTTGAGTCCCAGTTTCCTTTCCATTACTATTGGTTTTCTGTGCATTTCCCTACATTTCAATTAGTTTAGCCTTCATATGTTCCTCTAATTTGTGGCTAAAATCAACCAGTTCTGTGAGCCTCCTGATCACCAGTGTTTTGAACTGTGCCTCTGATAGGTTGGCAATTTCTTGTTCACTTAGATTTATGGGCTTTGGGGCTCTGAGTTGTTCTTGAGCCCTGTTTTGATCTGTTCATGCCTGTTACATTTGAGGAGAGGTGCCTTAGGTGTTCACCAGGGCAGAGCCACCCAGGTCGCTAGTTTGTGATGCTGTATGTGGGGGCAGGATCAGAGAGGGAGCAATGGTGGTCCTCTCCACTCCCTCCTGCCTGGTCCGCCTCACCGCTCGCCGCCCCCCCACCACCCCCACCTGTTTATCTGCGTGCAAAGGTGCGATCGTGGTCAGCCTGCCGCCTTGCACTGGGGCCTGTGCGGTCTGTCTCAATGCTCGTCCCTTCACTGGTTTATCTGCGCACAAATGCAGGACCTGGCTGCAGGCAGAGAGGGGTCATGGCAGGAAAAAGAGGTGGTTGGCAGACTCCCTGCTGGGAGGAAACGAGCAGACACAATGAAGCGCACAAGGTGGTTGGCTGATCTCAGACACACATTTGTGCACAGGTAAACCAGGAAAAAAAAAAGGGCAGTGAGACAGACCTTGAAACCCAGGGCCCCAGCTATGGGAAATAAAGCCTAAAAGCACCGATTGAAAAAACTTGCGGGGGTTGAGGTGCCGGGAGAGACTCCCAGCCTCACAGGAGAGTTTGTTGGAGAGACCCACAGGGTCCTAGAATGCACACAAGCCCACCCACCCCGGAACGAGCACCAGAAGGGCCAAATTTACTTGTGGGAAGCAGCAGAGGGGACTGAAATTTGAGAGAGATCGGAGCAAGAGCAATTGTCTCCTCTCTGAACCCGCCCCCATATAGTGTCACAACCCAGCCTTGGTGAAAACCTAAGGGTCTGCCCCTCATACTTAACAATCGTGATCTGGCCAAAACATTATGGCTCAAGCAGCAGAACAGCTCAAAGCCCCAGAGCCAATACTTTTAAACGACCAAGAGATAGCCAACCTATCAGATGCATAGTTCAAAACGCTGGTGATCAGGATGCTCACAGAACTGGTTGATTTTGGTCACAAATTAGATGAAAAATGAAGGCTACACTAAGTGAAATGAAGGAAAAATGCACAGGGAACCAATAGTGATGGGAAGGAAACTGGGACTCAGATCAGTGGAGTGGACCAGAAGGAAGAAAGAAACAACCAAACAGAAAAGAAGGAAGAAACACGAATTCAAAAAAATGAGGAGAGGCTTAGGAACCTCCATGACACCTTTAAATGTTCCAACATCCGAATTATAGGGGTACCAGAAGGGGAAGAGGAAGAGCAGAAAGTAGAAAAGTTATCTGGACAAATAATAAAGGAGAACTTCCGAATCAGGCAAAGGAAATAGACTTTCAGGAAATCCAGGAAGCTCAGAGAGTCCCAAAGAAGTTGGTCCCAAGGAGGAACACACCAAGGCACATCATCATTACATTAGCCAAGATTAAAATGAAGGAGAGAATCCTAGAAGCAGCAAGAGATAAGGGGACAGTTACCTGCAAAGGAGTTCCCACAGACTGTAGCTGATTTCTCAGAAGAGACCTTACAGGCAAAAGGGGGCTGGAAAGAAGTATTCCAAGTCATAAAATGCAAGGACCTACATCCAAAATTGCTTTATCCAGCAAAGCTTTCATTTAGAATGGAAGGGAAGATAAAGTGTTTCTCAGATGAGGTCAAGTTGAAGGAGTTCATCCTCACCAATCCCTTATATGAAATGTTAAAGGGACTTATCTAAGAAAAAGAAGATAAAAAGCATGTACAGTAAAATGACAGCAAACTCACAATTACTAACAACCACACCTAAAATAAAAAGAAGAACAAACTAAACAAACAACTAGAACAGGATCAGAATCACAGAAATGGCGATCACATGGAGGGTTAGGAACAGGGGAGTGGTAGGAGGACAGAGGGGGAAAAGGTACAGAGAATAAGTAGCATAGACAATGTGGAAAAAATAGACAGGGGGAGGAGGGCAGGAGTAGTGTGGTAAATGTAGAATCTAAAGAACTTGGGACACTTGGACATGAACTAAAGGAGGGAATGTGGGGAGGAGAGGGTGTGCAGGGTGGAAAGGAATGAAAGGGAGAAAATAGTGCAACTATAATGGCATAATCAATAAAATACATTTTTAAAAAAATTAACAAATAGCGCTGGCTGCTGTGGCTCATTAGATTGAGCACTGACTTGCGAACTAAAGAACCAAAAATTAACAAATATATTCATCATCAGAGCAATATTTCTTTAAATTGGTGGTAGTCTGTTCTGTTAAAATCTAGCAGTGTTTGAAGTATCTCCAAATACATTTAAAGGCTATACTATAAGTTTTCAGTTCACATGCCTTGGATTTCTTTGAAGTAATTTTTAATTTTTCAATGACAGTTGATATACAATATTGTATTAGTTTCAGGAGTATAACCCAGTGATTAGACATTCATATAATTTATGAATTATCCCAATAAATGTAGTACCCATCTGACACCATACATAGTTATTATAATATCATTGACTATATTCCCTATCCTGTGCTTTATACCCCCATGACTATTTCATAACTACCAATTTGTACTTGTCAATACCTTCACCTTTTTCACCCACTCCCCCAACACCTTTCCCCTCCAGCAACTGTCAAACCTGTTCTCTGTTTCTATAAATCTGTTTCTGTTCTGCTTGTTC